GTGAATTAAGTGCATACAAGAGAGCTACACAAAACTTTGCTCTGTACTTTGCACACTCCGCTTGTGAGACTGTTATCGATTGCTTTTCAACAATGTTGTTAAGGAATTCCATCATGATGCTTTAATTTCCCCAATATCCAATTATTCTCTATAAAACTCATAAACTTATTTTCTAAATTTTATAGTATCAACAGTATAAAGGGGAGACTTGATTGAGGAGTAGTGATAGAATTTTTTTCTCCTCTCTCACTAACTCTACCATGTGCCAATGTCCAGAGCTGACACTTGGGATCAAAATTTTCTCACACTCTAAAAATTTCAGCTGAGAAATTTTTTCCTTTATTCATTTTGCTATAAATTCAAGATTTCCTTCCAGATAAGCTTGCTAAAAAGATTCATAAATATGAAGAAAACATTCATCTCGAAAATTGGGTATAGATTGTATTAGTTGCTGTTCCACTCATATTTATCAGAATTCCCTCCTTTGGCAAACCGTAGTTCAGTGAATATCCTCTATACCAAACACATAATCTTTATTCCCAATCATAAATGAGCATTTATCGGGATTAAATTTTTAAATCCAGCAATCAATGGCTATTTGCTCATTGCATAAGGATGTAAGTATCTGGAAGAAGTTGTGAAAAGGTGTCTTCCCAAGGGCGTCCATATGTTTCTCATCCAATACTGTATGCTTATCAATTAAATCTCAAAAATAACAAAGATTGGAAGGAATCCTTAATTATGTTATCATAGCCCTACAAGAGAATTATAATTCATAGCGTTAATAATTAAATATAATATATAACATTTTAACTATCTAGTTGTGTTATAAGGCAAAATATGATGATATTAGTTTAAACTTTGTGCTCTTTTACATTGACCAAAATATTAGTGCACTAAGGATATATTATATGCCGAGAAACATGCATATAGACACTAACATTGTTCTTCACATATGCATATATCAAGTAATATCTGAAATATAATTAATAGAATTATCAAGTAACATCTGAAATAGTTGATTCTGATTTATATTCATTACAACATTCTCAATGTATTTGCATTAAGAATTATTGTCATGGATCAATTAATTTTGGAATGAGACACCTCACTACAAATCATAAAATTTGTGCTTGGTACCAAGTTCCTACATTTATGATATTTAAATGTCGAGACGTTGAGGGGATCTGAGTGAGTCGAGGAGGATATATTACATGCCGAGAAACATGCATATATACACTTACATTATATTTAAAATAAATACTTTGACATGACAAAAATCAAACAAATGAAACCAAAATCCAAAATCAAGGAAGTTTCATAAAAATTTCCCCCTTTTATTCATAATATGTACTCCATATCATACATAAAATAGTTCAGATAAATAGAATAACAAGACTAGATGAACATTATCTCATGGTAAACTACATGTGCTTGTGTCTTTAATTGTCTTAACAACCCTCATTTAAATTTATTCTCTGTTCAACACGAAGCCCTGAACTTCTTAAGCCTTTCTTATATAAAATTTAGAACTATAAAAGATTATACCTGAATTCCCAAGCATGTATAGAAGGTTTACAATATAAATACCTAATGAAATCATAACAAAAATTATCACATTATCAGGCTCAAGATCAGAGGTACCACTTGTAAGAAATCATAATATATATATGATCATATTATCTATAGGTACCCTTGTAGCATGAACATATTATCTATAGGTACTCTTGTAGCATGAACAAAAAGTTACTTTCAAATAGACTTTCAAATAAAACACAAATTAAACACAAAATTTACTTACGAAGAAGGAGGTTTCTTGCATTTAGAGGAGGAAAATTTTGATGATTTTGAAGAAATCATGGATGTCGACCCCTTCAATTTATTCGAAGACATGACTTGGGGAGTAGGACTACGAGTATTTATGGTCGAGCTTGGAGGATGAAAGGGCCACTACAGAGCTTTGCAGGGGTGGTCTAGCTTGTGGTAAGACATCAAGGCGTCAAAACATCAAGGCGTCGAGGGGATCTGAGCAAGTCGAGGAGGTTGAGGTGTCGAGGAGGGGATCTGAAGTGTCGAGGAGGAGGAGGGTCAACGCAAAAGAGGAGTCGAGCAGTGGTAAAGCTCTGTCAAGCGGGGTCAAGGGGATTTGAGTGACTCAAGGAGGTCAAGACGTCGAGGGGATATGAGTGAGTCAAGGAGGTCGAGTAGGGGTGCCAAACCGTATCCGTATCCGAAGAAATATCTGTAACCGTATCCGTTAGGATACGAATATGGTTACTCAAATCTATTACCGATAGGATATGGTTGCGGATATGGTTTTGTAGTGAAATATCTGTATCCGTATCCCAAAAAATCCAAATACATATTGGTAATACTCTTACGATAGTTTCGATTTTTAGATTATGGATTTGTGGTTAATTTTGATGATCAAGATGTCTAATCTTAGCTTTTCAATCATAATAAGCATATTAACGAACTCTTTTTGTATCACATGACTATATTTTTCTGAATACTATCTAGTTTTCTCATATCCTTTTTGTATCCGCATGCATATCCGTTTATATATCCGCATTTATATCCGTAACCGTATCCGGTTTTGGCGGATATGGATATGAATTTTTCTTACCGACGTATATCCGTATCCGTATCCGTATCCGAGATGAGTAAGCGGATATGGATATGGTAAGTGCCATATCTGAGCCGTATCCACTCCGTTAACACCCCTAAGGTCGAGGCATCAAGGTGACCTGAGCGGAGAGGGCAGGAGGCATCGAGGAGCATCATAGGTGGAGTTTTTCGACGGCGGAGCTTTCTGGCGGCGGAGCTTTGTCGAGCGGCAGATTTGAGCAGAGAGGGCAAGAGCATGAGAATTTTTTGATTCATGAGAACAAAGAAGAAAGGGTAAAGCTGAGGATTCGAGGTGGGATTTTATCAAGATGGAGGGTTGAGATGCTGCCATGTAGGCTCATCCTTATATGCAATCTAAGAAGCCTCTTTAGATTCCTATTTCCTACACACACATATACCTTGACATATTTGTATTCACTAGTATAGTGTACATGCGTTGCACGTGAAATTGTATTTGATTATTATTCTAAATTTTTTAATTATATAAGAACTTATCTAACACAAGGGATAATTGTAGTTGTTATCCTTGTCATGTATAAATATATATTACGATGTTCACTCATAAAGATAACTACAAATGAACCACAAATATAAAAAGGCTTAATCGAATTTAAATATTTTGATAGGTTTAATAGTGATAACTACAAATGAACCACAAATATAAAAAGGCTTAATCGAATTTAAATATTTTGATAGGTTTAATAGTAAATTTAACAAATTGTAAGAGTTAATAAAAAGGCTTAATCGAATTTAAATATTTTGATAGGTTTAATAGTAAATTTAACAAATTGTAAGAGTTAGAGTGTTTTAAAATTAGCATTACATGAGAGTTTTTGAGGGATAATTATTGTGTTTGCATGATTAGGGTACTTGATTAGAGCTCCAAATTACTTGACACCACCAATGAATCAAGCAGTGTTTAAGCCTATACATAATCACTGATAAATCAAGCAAAGTACGTAGCCCAAGAACTCCAATATCCTATTTAGACTTCAGTTCCTTCAGCATGTAACTTCTTGTAACTATGCACCACTCGAGTACTATTACTCCTAAGCACCGATGGCTCTGGAATCAGTACTAAAAGTGCAATTCATAGAAAATTTAGGGTATTTAAGTGAATATAAATACAACTGAGGGGCTATATGTGCAAAATATGTGAAAGCATGGGTGAATTTAGATTCTTAAGTTGAGTTGTAGTTGCACCCCCACAAATTTATAAATTGCATATAAGCCCTAGTAACATTTATAAGCTTCCACCTTCACCCTCTATAAACTTTAAAAACTATACCATAACCTATATCAAAACTCATTTAAAGAATTCCGAGCAATAGTTAATTTAGGGAAAGTTGGAAAAGTTTAGAAAAATCTCAGTTACTCAATCATATAAAACCATCTTAGGAAACAGAAATAAGAACTAATTTAAAACTAATAAATAATTTGCAATAAATTTTTATTAAAACAAAAGTAAAAACTCACTATAAATGGACGTTGTCCTCACTTTGGATTCAGTTCCTCTCTAATTTGGTGGTAATTAGAGAGGATCCAATTATTCAAGTCATTAACTTTCATTCTAATTTCAAGGGCTGATAACAGACATCATTTATAGAAATTAGCATTTCTCTATTTTAAGGCAAGATCTTAGGCACAAGTTGTATAAATTGGAACTTTTGTTTCAATTAATCTTTTTCTTTTGCACTATTGTCATATTGGTTTACACAATAGGGGATTTTAGTAGAAAAGTGGTTTTCAAAACAATAGCAAAAATCCTAACTGTCGTAATTTCATCCATTGAAATCCAAATATAGAATAAATATTGAGATTATTAGAGAATATCTGGATCCCCCTAATTGGAGAGGAGATGAACCTCTGCTCTAATTATCATCTAATTGGAGAGAATTCAGATTCCCTCACTTAGAGAGCTCAGAATCCTTAATAGTCTCTTTCTAGCTTCTACGTATTATATATTGACACAGGTGTGTACATAAAAATATACATACATTGATATATGACAAGAAATGAGAGCAAAAATACATAAAAAATAGAGAATAAAGAATTAAAGATTTTGATCTACTCAGATACCTCTAAAGCTAGTGCATTCCTTCCGACCTCACTTTTTCGGCAGCTGCACCCATTTATTGATAAAATCAAGGGAAAATCCCCTTTTAACCCAAAGTTTTACCCCCAATTATTTTAAAACCCATCCACTTTACTGAACACCAAAAAACCCATTATACCCATTTGGCTTAGTTTTAAACTCAATGCTCCTTATACCTCTCTATCTCTATACCGTATTTCCCCCAAAATAGAGAAACCCGACTTTGCCCTTTCTCTCTTCTTCTCATCATCGTCAACAGTAGGCATTAATGGCGACAATGGCGGGAGAAAAGGGCGGGCTACACTCAGTCTTCACAAACCCCCAATTTGGTCCCCATCTTCAATTACTCTCTCCTTCTCTCTCTCCTCCATTAATTTCTCCTCTCTTCTTGAGAAATCTCTCTCCTCCATTAATATTTCTCTTCATAGAAGACATTAATCCTACATCAGATCAGTGGTTGAGATCTCATGTTCGTTTCTTGCAGTACAAGAAGACATTTAAAGGTAACTATAAAGTGATTGAGATCCCATCCTTATATCTTGATTTGTTGAAATGTCTAAATTTTTAAATGAGAAAACCTTTATCATGTTGAGACTACTATTTTCTCATGAGAAAACCCTAATTCTGTTGATTACATCATTTGTAGTGAGAGTTTGGAAAGTGCTATACTTTCTTTAAAAAGTGCTATGAAAAGCTAAGCAATGTACCCGTTCTATATTTTCTTTATTTGATTCACAAAATAAAAATCATTTGTTCCTCATTTCTATAGAATGTAGAAAAATCTGGTCTTTGAATATTTAGGAATGAATATTGAATTATATTGTATAGAAACATAGAGAATTGCATATTGAATGCCGATGTTGAATTATATCGTATACAATAAGAAAATGCATGTTAGACTTGTGTTTGTTTGGTAATATTTGATTGTTAGTTAGTTCCCCACTTATTTTATTTTTTATGAATTTCAGTAATGGAAGAAGAGCTATATTGTGCAATTATGGACTTTAGAGGAAACAATCATTTGATTCCAATGAATATCAAGGGGACTTTCAGTAATTTAGTGGCCGAGGTGCAAAGTAGAATTGCTTTTTTTTCAAGCCCAGTGAAGCTGACTTATGAAGTCCCATATACAGAAGAATTGTTTGTACGTGTCCATGATGACGTCGATTTGTCAACAATGTTCGATGTACATCTAAGTTGCAAGAAGAAGATAGTTAAGATGCATGTTGACATAGATCGAGATACATTATTTGGTCTAGAGGAAAACACCATTCACATAAGGTAAGAACTTATTGTATATTGTGAGGTCCATATTTCACAAAATTAATCCATGTTTATTTAATTTCTCTGTAGTTCAAAGAAAAATTATGACGATATAATATGTCGGCAATTAGCTGTAGTACTAGATAAGAATTTTCATTAATGTTTCTAATTGCTAGTCTTATAAGGTAACTGCTTTATGTTTGCAGGAATCCTACCATATCTCTTTCGGAACAACATGCATCCTCGACGCATAATCTATCCAATTCAGAAAATGCATTACGTGAAGTTGAGAGATCTAGTATTCAGATTCCTATTTCATGGTATCATGCCATTAGAAGTGTCGGACAAGAATTTAATGATGTTGAACATCTAAGGCAAAGTCTTGGAAATTACTCAATTGCTCTCGGTTTTAACTTTGCTTATTTGAAAAATGAACCTAGAAGATTGATAGTAAAATGCAAAGGTGCTGACTGTGAATGGATGGTCCATTGTAACCGTCGTACAGACTGCAAACGGTTTTACGTGAAGAAAATTGGTCGTGCACATAGTTGTCTCGGAGGAGGCATAGGAGAGAAGGGACATCCACGGGCATCTCGTAAGTGGGTTGCAAATATTGTGAAATCCATACTAAAAGAACAACCCACCTACCGCGCAATTGATCTTAAAAAGAAGCTTCTGAGAGAGTTTGGCGTTGATATCCCCTATGGAAGAGCTTGGTGTGGGAAAGAGCTTGCTCAACAGGAGTTATATGGGTATGCAAAACATTCATATGAACAACTTAGATGGTACAAGGATAAAGTTATGGAAACTAACCCAGGATCAATCGTCCATCTAGAACATGAAGATGGCAGATTTACTAGATTTTTTATCTCATATTATGCTTGTTGGAAGGGTTTTGTCGAGGGATGTAGACCAATTTTATTCTTGGATGGCACCCATCTTTTTGATAGGTACAAGGGAACTCTACTTGCTGCTACTGCTTTGAATGGAGATGGAGGAATGTTTCCTGTCGCTCTTTGTATTTGTGGAACCGAGAATGAGAGCAATTGGGAGTGGTTCCTTGAATGCATTCGTGACGTATTGTACAATTCAGATGATCCATATACTCCGAATGATGAGCTGGTTATAATCTCTGATCGAGACAAAGGACTTCAAAATTCCGTCAAGAATTGCTTCCCTTGTTCATATCACAGTTATTGCATCCGCCATTTAATGGCCAATTATAAGAACAACTTGTCAAAGAAAAGGTTACCAGCACCACTTAGGGATGATTGTGTTCAAATTATGAAGAGAGCTGCCTATGCCTACACAATGCATGCTTATCATAATGAATGCAACGAGCTCCAGAATAAGTCATCTATTGCTTTCATTGAAATGCTGAATATGAGCCCACAGAACTGGGCTAATTGTTATTTTCCTGGAAAGAGGTCACCATTTTTACATATTTTTGGTCTTTGTGATTGAACTCTCTGATATGTGTGTTTGAACATGTATAACATTTGAATAATCCTATAGCTATAACATGGTTGCAGGTATGGGTGGTTAACCTCAAATCTAGCTGAGTCCTTCAACGCATGGATTAAGGAAGCCCGATTTTTACCGATAGCGCAGTTGGTTGATCACATCCGGGTGAAGATGATGAAAATGAGCTACGATAGACGTGAGGAATCCAACAAATGGACTACACCACTTGTTCCTAGTGTAGAGGAGCATCTTGTCCTGATCAACGAGGGTGCACGTTGTCTTCATGTTAATCCTTCTACGTCGATTCTGTATGAAGTATATGATTCCCCATCTGTTAGAGTGAATTTGGAGTACCACACATGTATTTGTCACCAATGGCAAGTTCTTGGACTACCTTGCAAGCATGCGGCCGCCGTAATCAGGCACAAAGATCAGCTATTGTATCCATATATTTCTGACTATTTCAGCACGGAGGTGTACCGCAAGTGTTACTCCTTTCCCATATATCCAATTCCTGATGATGAGAAGCCAATTATAACGGATGAGAATATGGAGATTAGACCTCCATTAACCTCGATTCGTAGAGGAAGGCCAAAAACAAAGCGGATCCCTTCTGGACTAAATCCTTCTAGAATGTTGAAGTGTAGCCGATGTAAGGAGTTCGGTCACAATCGACGAACATGTAACCAACCAATAGCTGATTGAAATATCATGCTTTTGAATATTTTCAAATCAGTTTGATTGTGATCTTCATGGACCTATTATAGGTTGATTACGTTTTGGTGGTGAAGATCAAAAAACAAACTATTTTGATTATTGTAAATTTTGTGTAACTACTTCAGTTATTATGGGTTGATTATGTTTTGGTGGTGAAGATCAAAAAACAAACTATTTTGATTATTGTAACTTTTGTGTAATTACTTCAGTAGTTTTAATGTTATTTCAGTTAGTTTTATTGTTATATCTATTTGTGTTGTGGTGTAACTACTTTAATTAGCTTGTGTATCCGAAATCGAGTGTTCTGTCGCGGAGAAAAAAACTGAAAAAAACCGAAATCGAGTGTTCTGTCGCGGAGAAAAAAATCCGAAATCGAGTATTCTGAGCTCCGAGTTGTCGCGAACCATTTCGGTTTTTTTCCCCGCGGCGAGAACACTCGGCGACCGACGCGTCGTCGTAATAGGCCGATCATCCGCCGCGTCGGCCGGTCCTCGCCCAATTTCGAAGCTTCAGGCAAAGTATAGCACCTTATTGCAAAGTATAGCACCTTATGGCCAAAGTATAGCACCTTGTTGCAAAGTATAGCACCTTATGGCCAAAGTATAGCACCTTACGCTCTCTGGAAATTCTGAGCTCCGAGTCGTCGCGACCATTTCAGTTTTTTTCCACGCGACGAGAACACTCGGCGACCGACGCGTCGTCGTAATAGGCCGATCATCCGCCGCGTCGGGTCCTCGACCAATTTCGAAGCTTCAGTCAAAGTATAGCACCTTATTGCAAAGTATAGCACCTTATGGCCAAAGTATAGCACCTTGTTGCAAAGTATAGCACCTTATGGCCAAAGTATAGCACCTTACGCTCTCTGGAAATTCTGAGCTCCGAGTCGTCGCGACCATTTCAGTTTTTTTCCGCGCGACGAGAACACTCGGCGACCGACGCGTCGTCGTAATAGGCCGATCATCCGCCGCGTCGGCCGGTCCTCGCCCAATTTCGAAGCTTCAGGCAAAGTATAGCACCTTATTGCAAAGTATAGCACCTTATGGCCAAAGTATAGCACCTTACGCTCTCTGGAAATTCTGAGCTCCGAGTCGTCGCGACAATTTCAGTTTTTTTCCGCGCGACGAGAACACTCGGCGACCGACGCGTCGTCGTAATAGGCCGATCATCCGCCGCGTCGGCCGGTCCTCGCCCAATTTCGAAGCTTCAGGCAAAGTATAGCACCTTATTGCAAAGTATAGCACCTTATGGCCAAAGTATAGCACCTTACGCTCTCTGGAAATTCTGAGCTCCGAGTCGTCGCGACAATTTCAGTTTTTTTCCGCGCGACGAGAACACTCGGCGACCGACGCGTCGTCGTAATAGGCCGATCATCCGCCGCGTCGGCCGGTCCTCGCCCAATTTCGAAGCTTCAGGCAAAGTATAGCACCTTATTGCAAAGTATAGCACCTTATGGCCAAAGTATAGCACCTTACGCTCTCTGGAAATTCTGAGCTCCGAGTCGTCGCGACCATTTCAGTTTTTTTCCGCGCGACGAGAACACTCGGCGACCGACGCGTCGTCGTAATAGGCCGATCATCCGCCGCGTCGGCCGGTCCTCGCCCAATTTCGAAGCTTCAGGCAAAGTATAGCACCTTATTGCAAAGTATAGCACCTTATGGCCAAAGTATAGCACCTTACGCTCTCTGGAAATTCTGAGCTCCGAGTCGTCGCGACCATTTCAGTTTTTTTCCGCGCGACGAGAACACTCGGCGACCGACGCGTCGTCGTAATAGGCCGATCATCCGCCGCGTCGGCCGGTCCTCGCCCAATTTCGAAGCTTCAGGCAAAGTATAGCACCTTATTGCAAAGTATAATTTCCAACAAGGTATTTTAAATAGGCAAACCCGCTTTAAGACATTTTAATTGATCCAACTAATCAATAAGGCATGTTTTCTCGTCGGCGGGCAAATTTCCGACGAGATCTCGTCACGTGCATGGCACATGATGTCTCAAAACTCATTTTTAGCAGCGGCGACGGCAACAATCTCGTCATATTCAGCCCAAAGTAGGATAAAATAACGGTTATGACGCCGCCTGAGATCGCTAACCCCATCGAATCGGCTGAATATGACGAGATTGTTGCCGTCGCCGCTGCTAAAAATGAGTTTTGAGACATCATGTGCCATGCACGTGACGAGATCTCGTCGGAAATTTGCCCGCCAACGAGAAAACATGCCTTATTGATTAGTTGGATCAATTAAAATGTCTTAAAGAGGGTTTGCCTATTTAAAATACCTTGTTGGAAATTGGGATGGAATTAAAATACCAATATGGGTATTTAGCCGTTTTTAGGCAAGCAAACTGTGAACAAAACTACCTTAGATTTCCTGTAGGTGTTAAGCATTCAAGCCCATAAGGAATCTCTACAAATCCTGTAGTTTTGATTCATTTTTTTCCTTCAATGGGAGATCTTATGGATGCATTCATTTTCTATTCTATTGCTAATCATATTTTTACTCTCATTCTTTGCAAGATTCTCAGACTTCCCATTTCTGTGACACTCTTCTTTTCTATTTTTGTTTTTTATTTTGTAATTGCCTGACATTTAGATCCATAAAGCATTGCTGTTCTTACAGTCATTTTATGAAGTCATCCGTTAATATCAGGTGTTCTCAGAGTTCTCAGAATGTCCATATGACCATATGATACTCCAGAAGCTTTCTGTCACTCTTGCCTCTCCTCTTTAGATTAAACTGAAGAGTAAATGAAATAGTACATTATAATAACCCTTCTAGGTATTGCTTCGCCACTGATCTGTACACTCTTTTCACTGCTAAAAGTAAATTTTCAATGTATTTCTTATTTGCAGGTTCCATTATATACCAAATGCATGGTCCCAAAGGTTTTCAGCTCCCATTGATCTTCTAGCCGACGATTGTGTAGGGTAGTTATTCTCAGTAGACTACGCTGGTGGAGTTGATACTTGATGCACGCGCGCAGTTTTATTTTATATTCTATATATAATGTCATATATGAAAGGCTGCTGGTTGGTTGCGAGTGACGTGTTCAAGATTAGTAGAGGAAACGACAAGGTAATTCAAAATTATGTGACAACAAAGTGACTACTCTTTCAGATAGTAAAGCAGTTGCATGTTCTTGTGGACATTGAAGAAAAAACGAACAAATTATATTTAAAAAAGAAAAAAAAAAGAAAAATGAGATGCTGGGTAGAGATATATAACGAATTTCGAAATTATGTGTCGAGTTTTTGTTTTGCCATTGAGTCAGTGAGCAATACCTTATAGTTTACCCATTCTTATTTACTTTTTAAATTAAACTTTAAGAGTGAATTAGAGAATTAGATATCAATCTTTTTAAGTTTCCAAAAATTAATAATCTAAAATTAATAGGCGGTGACCTTACAATTCCTTCCTCAGTTCCGCCGAAATCTTCGCACACTTCCTCAACGCTATCCCAACAACATCCATCTCCTCTCCTCCCCCATTTCCCCTCCTATCTTCAATCCCAAACTCCTCTTCCTCATCATCATCCTCCTCGATCCCAAACGCGTCGTTTTCAAAATCACTGTCCTCTTTGATGACAATGCGCCGATCCCTTGTCCTACGTGGCGGCAGCGATCGCTACCGCTCGTCGACGTCGTCTTCCAAATCTCATGCTTAAAGCCCAGCAGCTCAAATACAAAGGCTCTCGTCGCGGCCGGGATCTCCAAAAACCTCCTGCAGACAGCACTCCCGCTATCAAAGATTAGAACAACGTTATATTGATCCTGCCCCATGTATATCAACAAATCGCTCTACAATCCTTTTGGTTTCGGCCGTAGGCGAAGGATTCGATGGAGGGAGGGGTCGAGGGTTTGGGCTTCTTGAGGATTCGAGAGGGTTTGAAGTTGCCCCAATCGTCGTTGATGAGAGAAGGGAGCTCGAGAGTAGACTGAAGATCATCACTGCGAGCAAGTGCATCAAGCTTCCAGTTGGAGTCCTAGTGAGCAAGCTCTCAAGAGCTCTTAAGTATTTTGAAATAAAAAAATTATAAAAATAAACCTTGGGAGCACCTCCTTATTTTATGGAGCTCCAACAAGCTCCTAGTTAGGAGCTTCAACAATATCAAAAAAACCTCTCTTCTATCAAAAAAAACCTCACTTCTATTGCAAAGATACAAAGGCCAAAGACTTTTTCGTAAAAAAAATATTTCTTTAAGGCTTGGGTTTAAAAGTAAGGGGGGGTTTGTAAAAAAAAAGTTTTTTTTAATGCTTGGGAGCTCCCAAGAGCTCCGCCACAAATTTGTGGAGCGCTTGGGAGCTCCCAAGAGCTCCGGTGGGCCCCACTGGCCACATCAGCCCAGAAAGCCCCTTGGGAGCTTGCTGAGAGTTTGTTGGAGGGGGGTTTAAGAGCTCACACTGCCACGTAGGCCTTGAGAGCGACGGTGAGAGCTTAATGCACTTGCTCTGATGAGGAGGGGGAACAGAGATTGGGGTTAGGGATTTTAGAGGGGGCTGGTAGAGAGGGCGGGATTTTAGAATTTGGGAGAATTTTTTGGGGGGAAGCTGGTTAACGAAGAGAATGGAGGAAGAGTGATGTTTAATTTGGGGATATATTTAGAGCACCAAATTTTAGACTATGTATTGAATATGTGATTTATTATGTAGCTATAATTAAATATTCAATAGATTAATAACATTTAAATTTTTTATTTATTATTTTTTGTAATTTAAAAATAATTTTTTTAACTCATAAAAAGGATTAAAAAGTAAAAACAAATTAGAAGATAGTGGTTAAGAAATATTTTCTTTTAGTTCGGGGAAAATGAAATAAACTAATAAAAGTTATAAAGATATATACAAAAACTAACAAATCTTTAATATTTCAAAATTAGTCACCCAAATCATGGAAATTTCTATTATATCCCTCAAATCATCACAATGTTTATAATTAGGTCCCCTGGTTAACACTGATTAGATTTAAAGAAATAATCCTTTAAATCTAACTATT